ATTATATTTCATAGCTTCAATTTCACTTAAAAATAAAATTGAAACATTTTTCTATTGAAATTCAGTCCTCTGTATTAACAAATAATTTCTTATCATCACAAACCTTTTGGATGCCAGGCAACAGCTGTTATTTTCTCATTTGAACATGTAAGTGTATGTTTTAATGACCATCGATAATTGACTTGCTAGAAAACAAAATCCACAATAATAAAAATACAAAAATAGATATTCAAAATTCTAACATGATGCCACGATCGTTCTGAAGTAAATGTTGGTTCATAAATGCAAACTTGATTTCCAAAACCAGCTACAATCTAATTATTCAATAAAACTTAAAATGTATAAAAAGACAAAAGCAACAACAACAATAAATTCAAACGAACTTTGCCCGATTCATATGTACAATCAATACATGTTAATAAACATTGATTATATTCATTTCCTGATAAGAGAACTTGAACACGTTGAAAATCACCCGATAAAATCACAATATTATAACCAGCTGTATATGCCTTGAAACAAAAGAAAAATCAAATAATTCATTGCTTTATGAATTATTCATTAAAACTACATACCACAAAATGAATACTCTCAATACTACCTGCGGCAAAACTATAATCACTAGGATTGGCCGCTCCAGTCAAAATCTGATGTCGATGCATATCATCTAAAGTTAAACAAATCGAGTTTTGTTTTTTAAAATCGGCACTTTTCTTTTGATTTTTCCTGCCGTTTAAAATTTTATTATTCTTATGTATGTACGATTTTTCAAAACAACAAAGTTAGCAACAAAGCAGGATGAACGAAAAAAAACGAAAACAACAAATCTAAGCCGATTGAGTACGTGTTGTTGTTGTTGTTGCTTGTTGTTGTTCTTCCTGGAGACGATGTTTTTTAAGTGGACCCATAAATATACGTTTTTCTTCATGAGTTTGAAATCGGCCATGTCCAAATTTCGATGATGTATCGATAAAACGTAATTCAATTTGTTCTCGGTGTGAACGTTTAGGATTGAGAATAAGCGATTTACGTAATGTAATAGGCCGTTTCTTTGGACCAATACAACAACCTTTAATCATGATGAAATCTTGTCGTACTTCACCATAATGTGGAAAGCCACCCTAAATAGAAAAAAACGGACGCAATATTAACACATTATTAAATATCTGCTGTTTGTTTTTCTCTTGGGAGAAAAAAGAAATGTACGATTACACTTGAAGTTGAGAATATAATAATTATAGATATAAGGCGGCGACAAAACTCAATTAACCGTACAACAAAAAATGAAATATTTACACCATATATTGACGAAACTGGCTAATGATAAATGAGTATTCATATCTATGGGGAGGGGGGGGGGGAAGTTTGAAATATTCTTTTTTAAGTATCACTATTGGCTTCGACAAAAAAAAACTTCTATCCTCTCATAGGCAGTAAAAAAACAATGCCGGTGTGGATGAGTACCTTCAATAGAAAATGACGAATAAAGTACACGTTGAATGGTGCTAGAAGAAAGGAAATTAAATAAGCATACGAACAGATCGAGTTCGAGTATAGTCAGCCGAACAGGAAAGAAAATGGGGCGTGGGTAAATGTCTTATCTTTACCCAAATCCAGCCAATAATCAGCGTTTTATCCAAGATAGGAGCAGGGGAAGACGACGCCCGCCCAGAATTTTAAACCTGGATAAAGTCTTCTTCTCATGGGTAAGAACTACGAACATTCCTCTATTATCAGAAAAAAAAATTAGCCCATTTGGTCAATCTATGATGGAGGCGTTCAAACTCTTCCTTTTTTGGTATGGTAAAATGACTTTTGGTTCATTCTATATTTAAGTTATAAACTTTCAATATGATGTTATTGAAAACAAACCGTAATAGTCTACTCACCATAGGATTGACTGTTTTTTCTGTTGGATCATGCTCAGTTGAACCTGTACTTTTAACTGTTTTACCATCTTTAACTTGTATGGCTTCACCAATACGATAAATTTTCTTATTAATTTCTGTACGATGATGATAACCTTTTTGACCAGCACGAGCAACTGCACGTGATACATGTGCTGGATGCCATGCACCAATACAAGCTACTTTTCTTAAACCTTTATGTGTTTTACGTGGTAATTTTCTTGTATGCCAACGTGATGTAACACCTTTAAAACCACGACCTTTAGTTACAGATATTGTATCAATCATTTCATCTTTTGAAAAAACTTGATTAACAGGTACTTGTTTTTCTAAATGTTCACGAGCAAAATCAACTTTTTGTTGAACAGTACCACCATTTAATTGTATTTCCATAATATGTGCTTTCTTTTGTCGTTTACGTAATAGTTTAACTTGTGTATGAGCTAATACACGTATAACCTTACAATATTTCGCCATTTGTTTAAAATCATTTTCAATGGCTTTTTTACCAGATTCATCATCCCATTTTTTAGAATATTTTGTGAATGCTTTTCGTTTTGATGCATACCAATTTTTATAAAAACGTCGACGACATTCTTCATTTAAATGTTGAGCATAAATTGTTTTATATGCACGAAGACCACGTGGTGTTACAATATATCCAACAACACCAACAACAACCATAGGTGGTGTTTCAATTATTGTTACAGCTTCAACGGTTTCTTTTTTATTTAATTCTATTAAAAGAAGAAAAAAACAAATAAAAGATTTTTTTGTTAATATTCAAAAATATGTGTTCAAAAAAAACTTACTTGAAGCAGGTCGATCAACTTCACGAACAATATGGGTCATGCCTGCTTTGTAACCAAGAAAAGCAGTAAGATGAACGGGTTTTTTTGGATCATCTTTTGGAAATGATTTCACTTTGCCACGATGACGACGAGCTCGTTTCTTAGGCAAAAAGCCAAGATTTCCATGACGTGGATGTTCAAATTTTCGATGGCTCATGATGAGAATTGAAAATTTTATAGATAAATGATGTCCGATCTAAAGAAAAACAAAAATAATCTTTTATTTTTTTTTATTATTCTCTAGAGTTAAATTAATGATAAGAAGAAAACGAAATGAATTCTCTCCTCCAAATTGAATCCAAACAAACAAGATCAATAAATAGGTTTTTGATGGATTTTGGTGGAAAAAAGTTTTCTTTAATGAATCCACTTTATTGACGTTGATTCTTTTGAAATATTTATGTTATATTTTTTAAAAAGATTTTTATTAAAATTATTCATAATTTTATATTTATTTTATTAAATGATTAAAAAGTCAATCAATAGATGCCGTTATATGAAAGACCTATTTGTTGTTTTTTTCGTTTTCAGAAATTTACGATTTCCATGCTTAAGTTTCTTTTTTCTTGATTTTTGAAATTGGATAATCAATAACCAAGAAAATAAAAGATGTTTGTTTCGAATTATAATTTTTTTAAAATATTCTATGAAAAATAAACAGTATAAGTAAATAAATATAGTTTAAATAATCTTTAGATTTTTGATGAATCTACTCACAATGTTCGAAATCTTCATACTTTTATATACTTGATATTTTACTACTATTCTACTTTTTTTGTTTAATGATTGATTATATTCATATAATGAAGGTGAACGAATCGCATTCATTTCTCATTAAAAGAACATTTTCTTAATTGAAAAGTAATTTTAAAAGGATTTCACAGTCGGGTGTTATTAATTTAAAAAAAGAACAGAAACAAGTTGTTCTATTTGTCATGTAAAAAAAAATCTAGTTGATCTCATAGAAAACAAGAAATTTTCTTTTTTCTTCGTCATGAAGAAGACATTCATTACGAACGAAACGCAAAAATAAAGAAAAGATAATCAATTGATGAATCCGGACACGAACGTACTCTGTCTCTAATAGTCATTAATGAGAAATTCTAAACAGAATTTGTTTTATTTATTATAATTAACGCTAATATGAAAGTTAAAATAAATCTATTGAACATATTCGAAGAGTCCTCTGTCGAATGATTATGAATGGGGGTGGTATGTATTGTCGTTTCTTTATAATTTGTGGACGACAAACAAGTATACTTATATATGCTTATTCGCACAACACATCATTTGTCCTGTTGTTGTTTCGATAGTTTTGATCGATGCGAATGCAATTACAGATATTTTTTTATCTGTTCAAAATCAAACTAAAAGATTCTGATCATTTCAATTTTGTTTTCCTTTTTTTTCTTCTTGTTTTATTACAAAGAAATTTTGAGTTTATTTTCACAAAAATTCACTTGATTTGCATGATATTTGAAAATCTTTTTTACATTGTCTAATAAATTCGGATTTTATAAAATATAAAAAGAATATTTCAGTATTATTAATTATTTCTTTTTCATATAAATATTCTAAAAATCTTCCAGACAAGACCAACACTAGCCCTTCTTGTTACTTCTTTTCTTTTTTTCATCAATCCTAATTTTTTTCTCTCTCCCTGTCTCTCTCTCTCTCTCTTTTATTCGCCCCTTCGTTTGTGCGCCCCGTACCTCGTGTATGCGCGTCGTCGACGACAACCACAGCAGATCGAATCATATGGAAGATCATATGTGGGTAAGAGAGAGAGAGAAAAAAATGGAAAAGGAACGATAAAACAGCTGATTACCCTATATAAAGCGCTAGCGAAAAGGGGCATCCATAATGGGTAACTGGTGTACATACATATATATGCCCGCATACTCCGTCCGCTCGACATGTTCAATCAAATCAGCTCATCAGTAAGAGGCAGTCAATAGTATTTTTCTCTCTTTCCGTTAGGGCCCGCATGAAAGACTACATACAATTATACTATTCATAATTACCTTTGTATTTTTACCTGTAGTTTCTCTTTCGATTTTTGATTTTTCTATTGTAGATATTTCAATGACATTTTCCTAGTCTTTTTAGTTTTTAAATTGACAACAATTTCCATCATCGAAACTGGTTTCTTTGTTTTGTGTTAATTTTTTTTTCTATTTTTCAATTAATTATTCTTTTGTGTTTTGTATTGTTTATTTGTGTTAAAAATAATAATAAATTAATGGCAACAACTAATGATCAATCACCATTTTTTGATCTACAAATTGAATCACCATCAAGTTCATGTTCATCATCACCACCAACATCGTTAAAACCAGTTAATAGTCAAAATGAAATTGATTCTGGTTGTGGTAGTGATGATGATCCAGCATTAGCTTTAAAAATTAATAAAGGTCTTTCAATGGGTTATGATTATGAATTAATTAAAAGTGTTATACAACAACAAAATGATGGAGATGATATGTCAAAATTTATTGAAACAATTGTACGTACAGCTGAAGTAAATAGTAATTCAAATTTAGCATCAATTAATAATAATAGTCCAACAAGTAAAAGTTGCTCACCAACAACAGTTAATCAAAAAACAGATATTGATTCATCATCAATAAATTCAAATTGTTCAGAAACAACAATACCTATTCCACATGATGTTTATATTATTGATGGTGCTGATCTTGCTTATAGGTAAAAAATTATTAAAACTTTTTAACGTGCAAAATTCGAGCAATATTTTTTGTTTCTATACATGGTTAGATAGAGCTCGATGAGTTGACTAACACTATATATCGTTTTTTATACTAACAATACTGATATGTTTAGATTCGCCATGAGAAACTGCGTCTATGAGACTAATTTTAAATTAGTCTCATAGATGTACTTTTTCATGAACTCGATTTTTTTTATCAAAAGGCTTAGCTCGTCAAGCTCTATCTAACCATATATAAAAAAAATTGAAAAAACAATTTCGTTTGGGTGTTTCATTATTTGCAACTATGTTTGAAAAAATATTTTAAATTTATATTATTTTAGTTTTGGTAATAATGTATTTTCATGGCGTGGTATAGAAATATGTATAAAATATTTACATTCACATGGTCATAAAAAAGTATTTGTTGCGTTACCGTATTCATTAAAACATCATCGACATGATCAAAGTTTTTCAGAATCAAAATCATTACGTGATTTAGAACGTAAAAATATGCTTGTTTATACAAATCGTATGTCAAAACAAACAAATAAACCAGGCTCATATACACATATAAGTGAAATGTTAAAATTTTCGCAAAAAACAAAAGGACATTTAATAACAAATGTTTCATTAAAAGATGTTATACTTGATTTTACAATTTATAAACACATTGTTGAAGAAAAAGTTATTCGATATCGTTTTCAAAATGATAAGTAAGATATTGAATTCTTACAAAAGATATATATTTGATTCCTTTTGTTTTTTGATTTAGTTTTCAACCATTATTAGTAACAATTGTAAGTGGTGATGATGGAAATGATTGTGAAACACATTATCCATTATGTCCTTATGGTAAAAAATGTACATATGGTTCAAAATGCAAATATTTTCATATTGAACGTCGNGTGCAGGGATATATGCAAAACAACTTATGCTACTAACGTTTCGGACCATAGTGTTTAATATTTTGATTATAAAACTGTCACTTCTGCATGAAATTTAAAATATTTTTTTATGAAAATAATCAGCACAAAAAGCTCTACAAAGTATGATAAATGAAGAACTTTTCTCAATACTTCGTTTATTTGGTAGTTGACTGTGCATGTGATAATAATATCACTTTGTCTTTTTTTGTGTCATTTTTTTCGTAGGACTGAAGATTGCTTTGCCTATTTTATTTTATATTCCGAGAGTTTTCCGTATGGAACAGATGTATACAGATAGTGCTCGATCTCCGCTACAAGAATATATAATCAAATTAAATCAACGTTGTTTAGTTCAAATGGATGACTCAAAATACAAAAGTGGGGCGAGACTTATGACTCCCACTGTATTTGTTTGACTATGGGATAAATTTATTTTTTTATCATAGGAGCAAAACACAAATGTCATGCAGCTTTAACTGCTCCATTATTTCGTCGAGCTAAAATTATATCGAATCTGGATTTAATTGTTAATTGTACAGATAAATTGCTTGATCAATGGCGTTCAAAATGTGAAGATCGCATGTATGTACATGTCAATTTAGTTACTAAATGTCGAAATCTTCTACTTGATATTTTTGGTTTTATTGCATTCGATGATGATCTTGAATGTTTGGATTCAAATAACATCACCAAAAAAAAAAGCTTACACAGGCACTGAGAGAGTTTTTGGATATTTTTGTTTTGGCAATGCGTAAGCCTATGTTTATGATAAGATTGTATTTAGCAAGTAGTGCACGTTATCGAAAAGCAATATCTACTATTCACGAATATATTAATCAAATGATTGAACAAGAACAAAGAAAGACATCTTAAGAGATCATCGAAAGAAAGAGAACAAGTTTTATTGCATCACTTGTTGGATCATTACAACAAGACGAAAAAAGTGAAGCAGCAAAACCAGAAGAAGATAAGTGAGGTAATCATATTAGTTGAAATTCTTAAATTTAAGAAAGTATTTTTCCTCTTGTATACCTGACTGGAAAATAAGTAAACATAGACTGTGTATTTCTACTACAATGCATAGGAGACATCAGTAATATTAATCATTCTGAACTGGACTGTAACCATGTCCATCGTTAAAACAGGACATTGTGTTATTCAGCAAATGATTGTTTTCTTAATCATTGTATTTTTTTCGTAGAATTATCTAAGAGTGAAGTCTTTGACGAAATGTTGCTTTTCTTGATGGCTGGCTATGAGACTTCAGCAGCTGCTGTAGCCTGGTTTATACATCTGATTAGTAAACATCCACGAGTTCAAACAAAAATCAAAGCCGAATTAGCACAACACACTGAACATAATCTTTCCATTGATCAGGTTGATTCTCTTGTTTATTTGGACTGTGTTATTGAAGAAGTGCTTCGTTTTGTTTCGCCTGCTACTGGTGTTACACGAACATTAACAATCGATGATCAATTTCCTCAAAGTGGAATAAAATTGCGAAAAGGTGATCAAATCATGATACCCTTTTATAATTTGGCTCGGGATAAAAGATATTGGAATATTGATCCTGAATTATTCTATTCGGAACGTTTTCAAGGAGAAGACAAAAATCATAATCCATATGCATCAATTCCATTCGGTGGTGGTCATCGACAATGTATTGGTCAAGATTTAGCGAAATTCGAACTGAAAGTTATTGTAACTAGACTTATGCAACATGTTACATTTGGAGATGGTGGTACTGAAGTCAATCAAGCTGGATATGAACAAAAATTAACAACTGTACCTCGACATCTGGGGGTTACAATTACTTTCGACTAATATCTTTTGGAAACAAGTTACAATTTTTATGTAAACATAAAGATTAGAAGAATAACTAGAGTATTTATTCAAATTAAAAAGCAAATAAATAGTCTAAATAACAAAGGAAACATAAAATAATTAAGGTATAGAAGTGAGGAAAAAATAATAATCAGTCCCAAATAGCAGCTAATAAAAAGTCTTTGTAGACAACATTTGTTACCAGCGGAAATTTCATCACAGAAGGGCTGTACATACATTGCAATGTCTGATTCGTATTCATTTGTTACTTTAAGAAACTGTGAAAGTTTTCGAGGGGATGGCATTTTCAAAAAGTATGAATTCATTTACTATGAGTGTCTGCCACTTTTGTCAATGGTTATACTAGAAACATCTTTTCATGAGAGAACTATACTAACATTTCACGTTTGGGTTGTAAGAAAAATTTATTGACTGATGAAATGTTATCGTTGTTTTTTTACTTTTTTTTTTCTGTATTGTCCAACTAAGAACGTTACTTCTTCACTTGATATCTTTTCTAGAAATAGTGCTTTTATTTTGAGTAGATACAGTTCTTATCGAATTATTTTTAACAGTTTGTGCAGTATCTTTTTCGATCGCTTTAAACGCTATGAAAATAGGTAAGCGTAAAATAAGTAGAAGGAGATAACGACTCACCAGATTTAAACATTTCTAAACATTGAGGTCAATACAAACAGCTTAAGTTTACAGTTCATTATTTTGCCTTAGTTAACAATGTCATAGAATATGTGGGTGTTGGTGTAGCCAGGAATGAAGAGAAGATCCACACAACCACAACCTAAGATTCTTGTTTCTTCCGCCGTTGTTTGTTGTGCATTGTGATTCTTCCAGGACGTTTTCTGAGAATGGACAGATAAAGGCTGTGCATATGAAAAATCTAATTAGTTTTTTTCTTCTGTTTTTAATGTAGGTATACGAAAGTGGCCGTAAATGTCAGATTGAAGAACGAAAGAAAAGGACGCGCCACCTGCAATTATTTTACATTGACTAATCTCGATAGTGAAGTGAAGAAAGAGTTTTTTTTCTTTTAAAATTGGAGAAAAGAACAGAGTGCAGAGATCCTATTCTTCAAATATTGACGTACTTTGAGAAGTGATGACTGAGAAAATAGCTGGCCAACTGCATATTTATTACGCCTTACTTTTTTTCCTTATTGAATACATATCGGTGTGAAAATTAGCAATGAACGATTTTGATCAGATCTTTTTTCCTCACTCAATACCAAACGGAACAGTTCTATTGAAATTCAAGGCAATTAGTCGGATGTGATATCCGACACGTTCAAGTCCATTGTAATCTCCTCCATAGGCTTCATAGACAAACATGAGTTGATGATACCTTTGCCATTGTCTGCTAATTATTACAAGAGTTTAAATCGAAGTCTCAAAATCGGCAGCGGACTATCACATTTAACATACTATCGCGTTCTTGCGACTTGCATTCACACCGTGTTGTTTTCTTCTGAAACCGAAAGTGCTACTGAAAAATGATAAAATATCAATGTTTCTCTTTTGAATACGAGCTTTGAGCACTCTTATCGGCATTTGATGGAAAAATCGAGCAACAAACGATTAAAGTAAAGGGATAAAATGAACTGGTCAAAATAGCAACAAGGTGAACCACATTTTTATTCTCTGCATTAGTTGTTGTAATGAGATATGCAGGTTCAGAACTTCTACAAAGCGATCTAGATGTGAAGGAAGAAGGTATAGAAAAATATATGGGTAAAATCGTACAGAATGAAGAATATTCTCAGTATGCTCTACGGCTGACACGACATTAGACAAGCATAAAAGTTCTTGTTCAGGTACCAGATTAAATGCTTGTCATGAAAAATTATTCGAAAGAAACAATCTGAATCATCGAAAAAAGATAGCTTTTTTTATACTCTTGGGAGTGATATTTATCATGCTGTGTGCATCGATTCGCTTATGGATCAGTTGGAAAACCGGGCAAAAAGATTGTTATGATTCATGCATGGCTTATGTTTAGATACAATTTATCAGTGGACTTATTGTAACAATTATCGGATTTATATTTCTGATCAGTTCGTTAATCGTTGGCATATGTTGGCTACGACAAAGATGATCAATTGCAATACTTTATGCACAACAGATAGATGTTCATAATGTGCCATTAGGATGTGGATGTCAACCTGGATGAGAGGAAGATTCAGACAGACAACTACACAACGATCGATACATATAATAACAATCCGCACACATTCTACACTGACCACCGTATGAATATGAAGCCCTGGGCACATTAGAAGACCCCTACCCCACAGGGTGTGGGTGTGCGCATAATCAACGTATACCCACACCCACAACAACTCATATTGAAGATACAAAAGCGTTTGTATCATCTAGAAACATGGATCTCTCGGATATAACTCGAACTAACTTTTAGTGACACACTGTTCTCTAGATCGTCTCGACACAGAGTGAAGATTTTGTTACAGCGAAAAATACGCAAAATATGAAGACGAAATGTATATACAACTGACTACAGACATGCTATGCTTCTAACCACATTAATACGATAGATCGTTTTTCTGGCGATCGATCATCCTCGGAAAAAAACTATAATCTGCCAGAGATGTTTAATTTTACGTATTTTGTATTATTATAATGACGCCAAAGAATACATGTGCGTTCCACGCGGTAGCCCAAAAGAGATGCACTAACAAGTTGTATTATATATATTAATTCAAAATAAAAATTCGCGTAGAAGAGCATCATTAGTTCTAGTTCAAGACTGTTAGAGTGTGGGTGATGTATGGATGTCGGTGTGCGTGGAAGGAGAAGTGCGAGAAGACCCACACCTATCCACCAATATTCGTGGATCTAAAAATAATAGCTATTTCTTAAAAAGAAAACATAGTTGTCATTATTGCATTGGTTTATATTACTCATTTTTATCGTATCACACGTTTATTACATACTTTTTATCATAGGTAAGGTTAACAAGAAAAATAAATGACTTTACTACAAATAATTAGTCTGGAAAACAATAGAATATGTCGTTGGTAAATGAAAATTGAATACATAATTGACAATAGATTTCTATTCATACAAATTTTAAAACAATTATGGACAAGTTGTATTTTTTCAAACTACAATTTATTATTGTTAAACTTCTTTGTTGATTTGCTTACATTTAATGTCATAGATCATATTTAAAAAAAACTCATAATATCTTTTATTACTCTTGAATAAAATCATGATTCAATTCTATAGTATTAATAACATAATTGCTTAACGTAAAAAGTTATCTCAAAACCTTCTGATCGAAGTATACCGTAGAGATACAATTAAGTAAGCGGTACAATAAGTTACGTAAGTCAACTTACGATGACTGCAGTAAAAATTTCTCTTATCTGACTACTAAAGGAAATATTTCAACGTAATCACTATTTGGAGGTTTATACTTATTTTCATAGAAATGGATTTCTATATTCTGTGTGTAAATTATGAGGATTTAATCGATGTCACTTGTCTTTTCTATTCGCAGAATCGTACTTTTAACTTTGCTTCACAAAACCTCTTCAATTTTGCTTTGTTTCGACACTTTGTTCTCAAGATTGAGATCAGTTTCATTCTTATGTCTGCATAAGAGTATATATGAATAGGAGTACAACAAAAAAAAACATTCACTTCACACAGATTGTTCTAGTTGGTGAAAGTGAAAACAATGGGTTCATAGTTCATTTTAACGATGTATTCACTAAGAAGAGATCGATTTCAAGTAACAACTGTTCGGTAAGAATTAGTGAGAATTGTACAATGATGATATATAGAAAAATAAAGAAATAGAATTTGGTTTTTGTTCAAGAAGATTTTGAATGAGTCTGACAAATAAAAGCGTCAATTACAGTCTTATTGTCTAAAGAGAAGTAACGTTCAATAACTGGAAAAAAAAAGAAAAAGATGACAAGCAAGTAATGATAAATATGATAATTTTGTTGATGATCTCTGTAAAATCTTAATAGATTTGATCGCTTATGATTATCTTTATTCTTCATTCTCAAATATTTATCTAATTCATCATATTTAAATGTTATCCTTGAAATTAATTTCGTTGCATCTGTTTGCTAACAATATATTCAATTTCAGAGATAAAACTTTGATATCAAAGAAAAAATGCACAAACAGGTGGAATGATTTGCTTGTTTGAGGCAATGTTACATTGTGTAAATATTTTATCATAATTTTCGAGTTATATCAATGTAATAATTATTGTGTGGGTAATTAAATTGCATAGTTGAAGGTTTTCTTTCTGTTTAAAGTTCTCGCCCACCTAGAAAAAAAGTCAATTTTTGGCAAAAACTTGAAAAAAAGATGAATGCATGAAGAGACAGTTCGAGGTCTAATCTTTCATAAATGATAAGATTCTTTTTAATTCACACTTCATTTTTTTCAAAAATTTCCATCATTTTCTGTTTGAAAAATATGGTTTTTGAATCACGCATCCCACAATTCTCTAACGAGCTTCATTGTAGTCAATGATTATTTTTTTTTGCTTGAAAGAGCATATCAAGATGCAAGGCATGACAGTATCCACCTTTTTGTTTTTGAATTAAGCTTTGTTACTATTCATATAAAAGTACTTTTACAATTAGAGCGCCACTTTTTGAGACATTGAACTTTTCTCCACTTAAAAAGTAAAAATTTTAAAAAGGGGCTCGGTCATGTCCTGGATCCTGACATGTCCTTTCAAACAAAAAAATTAAGTATATAGAATGAAGACCCACAAAGAAGTATGTGTTGTCAAATAAGGTATTTTTAAGCATTGTCTATTAAATATCTCGCAAAAACGTCATGATATAGAACTGAAAATTTCATGCAATCCGAGTCAAGATTAATATTTTTTGAACACACAACTAATTTTCTGCCAATTTAATTCTGATATTATCAAATAGAATCTTCGTATATTTCGAACTATTGTAGTTCTCTTCATTACACGTTCTATTTCATTGCCGTAACATGACCATAGTCATTTATCTTTTCAATTAAATGTAATAAGTAACCTGAACATTCTAATGAACATGACATAAAATGAAAAACTTATGTTTTTTGTACAATGGTATCAATTATCTTCTAAAAATCTTTGTAGATATCTTTAGTTTAAATTTGTTCATTATACAATGAAAACCTATTCGATATAGTCCGAGTCTATATTTGTATCTTTATCCGTAGAATATTGTCCTTGTAAATGATTTGTAAGTTGATCCTGATCTGCAAGTATATGTACGCGTGGATTTGTCATCTCTTTCCACTGATTTGTTCTTTCTCTCTTTCTCTCTCTCTCTCTCTATGCTTCTTTGTTTAAACCGGTAGTCTTCCTGACAATTAGCTCTCAAATTTCCTCTGACCACAAGTGAAATTGTTGACATGTGCACACCAATACTATGCTTCTTTTCTTTCTCTTCATTTTGTTCGCTGTCAAGTATCGAAATGTGTGAAGAGAGGAAAGAATTGAACGATTAACCGAATGAAATGAAATGGGGTGGTGCTCCATCGTCAAACATAACATACTTTGCAGAATTTTTCTCTTTATTCTTTTGTTCTCAATTGCTCTTGGCTGTTGCCCTTCTTCAAATAAGAAAAAAAACGCAAACTGTCGATCAAGTTATCAAATTCCGTTATATACATTTATTACAAAAGAGAAATTGGATTGTTACATCTTTTACTCTGTTCATTGTATATTCTCGTGAGCGCATTTATATGAGTACGTATTACTAAACTGTTATGCATACCATATAGATGTATATGATCGTCGACGAACCATGACAAATAGGAAGCTTTCTAATACTTAATTACGTGATCGATCGAATTTTTTCTCTTTTTTTTTCGTTTTACAGAATAGACAACAAAAAGACAGCCGACCGTATCGTACTGAAATAAAGACTGATACAAGATTAGATGTAGACAGCAGTATTGACCTTTTTAAAAATTTCCTCTGGCCTCGTGAACATCCGATGACCATCAATCTATTTTAACACGCAATGAATATGAGAGATAAAAAGCTCGTTACCAAGATGAAATTTGAAGGTCATCGATCGTATGAGCATTGCTATCATTGTACATATATGAGCACTAGTTAAAAGAGAAAACGGAGCTTGAGCAATGAAGCATGACGTATGAGCATGTATACACCTTGAAACTCAATATATATGAATATATGTATGCTTTAGGCAATGTCTCTGTTTCGTTGTTCTTCTTTTTCTTTCTTCACTTTTTTTTCTCCTATTAGACAATCAACTAATAATGATGAATGACAGCAATAGGTGTTGATCGATTAGAAAAGTTGTTGAACATAGAAATACTAGACTAAGAAGAACAAAAAAGAAAAGACATTCTATGGTTTACTAAAATAATGAACAAACTTGATTATGGATTCACAAATATCAATTGAATATGGTAAAAAACCTAAAGTAAGTTCTATCATAATGACTTTCAACATTTCATAATGATTGATCATTAAATTTAAGGTTGATAACGAACAACATATCATTCGAAAAAACGGTTGCATGAAGGAAATGACTGGTATATTTATTTTTATTTAAAAAAAGAAAATCATTTATTTCTTGTTTAAAAATCTATTATTTAAGATGTATGCCATGATCATTTTCGCATTGATAAAGAACAATCGATGCTTATTGATTGTCAACGGTTACTTGAACGAAATGAACCATTAGATAAGCCAGATAAATATGGCATTACTCTTGTAAAAAAAAGAAGTTTTTTTTTTTAAAAAAGGTCTTATTTTGTTCTTATAGTTGCATATTGCTGCTGCAAAAGCATATTCAAGTGTAGTTCATTTTCTATTACAACATTATGTTAACGTAGATCAAGTTGACGACACGGGCGCTACAGCATTACATCTTTGTGCTAAACATGAGCAAGTAAGGAAAAAGGAAAAAAGAAAAAAAAAATTTCTTTTCCGCCATCATTCACGACATTTGTCTTCCACATGAGTTCTTTTTGTTTTTGTTGATTACTAGGGTTTGATTGTAAAATTTTTACTTGACGCTCATGCGAATCCAACAATTTGTGATCGATTTGGTCGAAAACCAAGTGGTAACAAATGGAATTTCTTTTGTTTTTAAATTTAATATTTTTTTCTTTTGTATTATTATTTAGAAGTGTGTGCATTGAATAGTTTTATTCGTGCATTACTCCTTAAAGCTGAAATTAAATTTGAAGAAAAACGAAAACGTGCTGAACAAAGTGATGATAGCTTAGAAGAAGAACGTGAAGAAACTATTGATAGTTTATCAGATGACGATAATAACAATGATGATCTACAAATTTTATTTAAACCAATACCACAAAAGCCACCATTGTGAGTCACTATGATTCAGATGGAAACAGAAAAAAACACGATACATTTATTTTTCCTATTCTATAGAATTATTTCTCAAATACTAAACAACGATGATGATAATGATGATGATGACGATATAAAAATGATGAATATTTTTGATGAAAAATTAAATTACTGTACCAATGATGATATAGTAAGTAGATGAATAAAATTGCGGAAAATCTTTATGCGAATAAAAGTAAATTTTTTGAATGATTCAAACGTATGTGATCTTATAAAAGCTTAGCAATATATGACTTTGAGCAAGTTTTACAATTTACATCCAAGGTTATAATAACTTAATTATAGATTAAAAAAAATAACTTTTAGCTTTTTTGATTTCATGTAGTATAAAATACGTTTTGATATTTGTTCACAAAATAGAGAAACAATATAGTATTTGTTTATAATAGTAATTGCTTTCAATTTCATTTTTCATTTATGGTAAGAGCCAAAGAAAAAAAATTGACCTTGTTCTATTTGCTTCTATGTAGAAGTGCATATTTAAAACATTAAAAAATTTTCTTTCGAATAAAAAAAAGATTATTCATTTGAAACATCATTTTATGACATTAAGTTTTACTTTATGCTACCAGAAGTAAATTACTTCACATTTTTCTTTTGCTCACCTTGAATCAATTATCAAATTTTTTATTTTAATTTGTTGTACTATCATGTACCTATGTCTGGATACGCTTATTAATACGGAACAAAAACTAATTGTTTTTTTTCTCTAACTAATTTGTATCATTTTTTTGTATCATAATATCACCTTGTTAGAAAAAAAACAACAAACTAATAGAATACATTGTTATTACTCAATAATTGCATCATCATTCAAAGTGCTTGACGGACTTGTCTTACGCTTGAATGAGCTGAAAAACGTCACGAAAGACGTTCACTCATTACTTCAACATAATGGGTAAAAAAAAGTAAATCATTTAGTGTGATTCTGATCGGTCCAGTCGCACACACACACACATACACATTCACATATATATATATAACGTAAGAATGCGATACAGAGAGGGAGAGAAAAGAAAAGTAATGGACGAAAGGAGGTTTGATCAAATATGGGCGAGAGTAGGAGAGCTATCGTCGTTGTTATTGTGAGCGCTCTTCTAATTGACGAAGTAAGAAGAAGAAAAAAAAGAAAAGAAGATACCCGTCGTCGAAAGTAATCCTTTATCGAGTGACAAAAAGCGACGTCGAGGGCGACTTAACGCCATTGATACACTCATATACGTATACATAGAGACATACGGATGTTATGGCGCCTACAATGTTACCATTGATGGTTGATATGGGTTCTTATAAATCTCCGGTGAGCTATTTTTATTTTTTGTAATAATATTTATCTGTCCTTATCGATTATTATTGTTTCCGTTTCGAATGATCAAATGATCGACGTCTGCTGTCTCATTGAATAGTATACATCATTGAAGTATATGATCGTTAGTCTCATAAGTGTGTGTGCATACACTTATAAAAGTTGCTTGTCGAATAGCCATACGGAAGATCATGTTTTTTGTTGTTCGATAGTTGACAAAAGTAGAGAAGAAGAAAAAAAAGAAGGAGAAAGCGAACAAAAAAAAAACTGTGGATTTGAAGAATTTCGGTAAACATGCTCGAGAATGCAGGCAAGCGAGTAATACAAGGATAAGAAAAAGAAGGTGGGGGGAAGAAAGAAAAATGAAAGAAAGAATACTCAGCATTTGCGAACTACTTGAAATGTGCAAAATCGAAATTCGGCTGTAACAAACAAAGAAACAAATCGCAAACGAACTAACGTTATTATTATTATTATCATTGTTATTATTACTCATTTTTCACAAAAATACTCTTCATGTTGTACATTTATTTAAGTCTATTCATTTTCGCAGACTAACGTAAAAGAAAAAAAAGAAAAACGATCAGCGACGAATCGACACATATATTCAACGTACATATTGTAGTGACCTTTTTTCTGGTGTCTCATGTCTATTTGTATTCATTCTGTCTGTCCATCAAAGATGAATACATATTAATTGTTCGTTTATATTTATATGTAGATACTTGTAATTTTTTTTAATTAGAAAAGATAGTTTATATTAAGAAAATCATGCCATGACAAAAGACGACGTTAACTATCATTCAAATAGCGTACCATATGATCAAGAAAAGCGTTCAGAAAAATTATCTAATGATTACTTAAAACAGGTATTTCATTTTTCTTTTTATATATTTATTAAAAACGTGTGTCTTTCATAGAACAATATTTATCCTCATTTAAATGATCAGGCATCCATTCATGTGTTATTTATTCGATGGAACTTGTAAAGACTCTTTCGCCTCTATTTTTTTTTACTTAGTATGTTTGTGCATTGACGTGCATCAAAGAGTTTCTCTAAATTTATTGCGTACCGAGAGAAGAATTGTTTGGACAATAGAGTAGACGAATACTTATCTGTGAAGTGTTTTTTAAATTGTACGAGAAAAAATTATCTATAGGCTTCTTTTACCATCTATTCTGTTCTTTGTCCTAATCATCTATATCGATAAAATGATAATTATTGAAATACATAAAACTGTCTCGAATGATTAAAATCAGAATAAGAAAAAAAATTTTTTTCGTTCTCACGTAAGAAATAAAATTGAGACATTTGTATTACTTTATAGTTTTTATGAGTAACTTGTTGGTAAGATCATATAATTTAACTTAATTTATTCTTTAGTCACTTCCATATAAATTACCTAATGATGATTTGGCGCTATTACCTGAAATCTCTGAACAAAGTTTACTTTACGATTTGGAGATGCGCTATCGGCAAGGTCAAATCTATGTAATATTTATTTTATTTTATTTTTCTTTTTTTTTCTTATTCTCTTAAACATTTAGACTTATATCGGAGATATCCTTATCGCTTTAAATCCATTCGATCACTTACCAATATATGGTCGAAAAGTAATAAAAAAAAGTTTTGAATCTTTGTTTTTCCGTTTTTTTAATATAAATCAATTTTAGATATCTGAACTTTATAAAAATACAGAATCAATTGTTTCGTTACCTTCACATATTTATGGATGTGCCGAACGCTTATATCGAAATATGTTACGTGAAAAAACATCTCAATGTGTTGTTATATCTGGTAAATAAAAAAGAAAAGGAATAATAAATTTCTTTTAGAAAAAAAAATTTTTTTTTAATGTTTAGGTTTATCCGGTAGTGGAAAAACTGAATCATGTAAATATATTGTTCAACATATACTTAGTCGTTCCTTATCTGTTGAAATATCACTTAATATGAAAATAAATCAAGTAGAAAATTTTCTATTAATTAATTAATTTTGAATGAAAAATTCTTTAGGTTAATCCACTTATGGAAGCATTTGGTAATGCTAAAACATATATTAATAATAAGTATGAATAAAATTCAATTATTTAAATATGTTAAAGTTTAATTTTTTAGTTCAAGTCGTTTTGGAAAATATCTTGAAATTCATTTTTCACCAACAGGAAATGTTTTAGGAGGTAATAAAAATAAAATCTTATGTAATTAATTTAAATAAAAAAATTCTTATATTTAATAGCTCATTTAAAAGAATATTTACTTGAAAAATCTCGTGTTATATCGCATAATAATGATGAAGGAAATTTTCATATATTTTATTATCTATTTGCTGGTTTATCTCATGATACGTTAGTCCGCAATGGTTTAAGAATACCGAGTGAACATCGGTAAAATAAAACCACTTAGAAGGAAATTATTTATTTTATTTTATTTTATATTTTTTAACTAAATTAGATATATGTCACATAATATTGAATTAGCACAATTGGATAGTGCAAGACAAGTTGAATATAGAAAAAAATTTCAAATGGTTAAACAAAGTTTAATATCTATTGGATTTTCTATTGAAGATGTTCAATCAATATTTACCATTCTATCAGCTATATTACATATCGGTGATATTGCTTTTATTCCACATGGTTCAAACGATGGTGTACGTGTTAAAAATAATAGTACAATTGATAAAAGTATTAAAAAAATGTTAAATGAATAAAAGAATTTTGACTTTGTTTTCTTTTTGTAAATAGTTGCTGAACTTCTACAATTATCATCAATGGAATTTAGTTCAGCATTAGTTACTGAATTACAAGTAACACGTGGTGAACAAATATTTCGTGAAAGAAATATTATTCAAGCATCCGAATGTCGAGATGCATTTGCTAAAGCACTTTATGGAAGATTATTTAGTTGGATTGTTAATGGAATTAATTCATATCTACAACCAGTAGAAGATGAAAGGTGATTTTGTTTATTAAGACATAAAAATTAATTATTTATTGTACAGTTTTAAGTACAAAAAAAAAGAATTTTCTCGTCTACCACTAGTACTATGCATACTGGTTTTTCGCATATGTGCAAAAATACGAGAGATTTGCGAAATTCGTCAACAATACTTGAAACTATAGATAAAAGGAACTTTGTTTACGTACTACGATATACGATTGAGAAAGAAGAATACTCCTGCCTTTCGGTTATCTTGCAGTATTGGGTACTGCATAGCGACAGATTCAATAGTCCCATATTGCCCCTACAACTAATACTAGCTGTAAGTCTGGACAGAAGGCTAGTTTGGCGAGGAGCTGTTGCGCTCAATTGCTTCAGCTTTCCATGTACACTTACTAACGACAAGAGCAAGTGTATGTCATAACATAGTCAGCATGCTATCGAACAAGTGATCCGGGACAAATAGCCGTCAGTGAATTGTCTAAGGTTGTTTTATGGCTGATGACAACAAGGATTGAATCCAATACCTTGTGGATACGTGCGATTGCGATTCATCTCAACTACCGTATAACTTTTCTATAGTGGACATCATTCGGATGTTTCAATAATATTCACCGTCAAATTAAATGACGACATCCGTAATAGAGAGATTTATTTCCAATAAAAATTGATAGCCGAAACCTTCACAGCTATTCACTAGATGAAGATGTCCACTGTAAGAGGCTGTATTGTACACAAAACTAATAGTGTGTTTTATGCTATGTACATATCAGCGAATTGCAACTTTTTGGTAGATTGAGATTTTAGCTGCAGTTTGCTTACAACTTCTGATTTTTTCGACTGATTTGGACATTTTTTTAAAATCTACTAATCCTCTTCGAACATTCTACTACCACAAAATATTTCAGCTCTGTAACTTATACTGCTGCTAACGTATGACAAATACATTGCAAAAAAAAAACATCTTTTTTTGCTGACATGTACAAAAAAAAATGAAACGTTTCGAGTTCTTCATTCAACATCCACAATGTTTCAAAAATACTTATATGTTTTCGTGCGATTGACATGAAGAAACTGAAATTATATATATAAACAATTTCTTAGTATATTTTATTATACTCATCTACTTAACTCAATAATAAAAATGACTTTACTCATTTTTCAGCTCTGTATAGAGAACAAAATGTNCTACGTCGTTCTGCTCAGCACTACGTCATTCTGCTCAGCACTATGAAAATGTGCTAACTATTCATTGAAGCTAGACTATTTTTTATAAACAGCAGTAAGATGCATTTCGTCCCGGGCCGAATTTCCAGTGATATTTCGGCCTGGGCCGAAACGCCGCCGGAATTTAGGACCGGGCCGAAGTTCCAGGCCGAAAATTCCTTGGGCCGAAATTCTGGCCTCCCCCTAAAATAGTATGTCAATATATTCACGTGAATTACTGAATTGTACTGTGATCGTTTCGGTATGTTTACAACAAGATGATTAATCATCTTATACTCTTCAACCAGTATAATTATCTATTATATTATATACAAATAAACGTCGTCATAACGTTGTAAACAATAATATTACTCAAATTTGTGTAGGTTTTCTTCAAGGGCCTAAAAACACATGTCAAGGTGATTAAGTAAAGAATAGGTATTTTTAAATATGAGTATTTGTTTGTAAAATATTTTAGTGGCGCACCATTGATGATTTATGTTTCAAAAAATGATACATGTAATACTATGAGAATAACTTCATATAGATTGAATGTGGAGTGGTAGAATATCCTGGTGTATGTACTTATATGAGTACGTTCGTGTATTGGATTAATATTCATATAAACGATAAAGATTCTATTGCATGTGAAGCATCAATGAAATCAATATCTTATGTGATATTATTTTTTTTATCATGTATAAATTTGTTTTTCTATTTCAAAATAATTCTTTTTGTATTTATTTTAAAAAACGAATTAGCTTTTGTTTTAATTCTAACTATATAAAAAAAATATGTTTATCTTGGTAAATTAAATATATTTAACTAATGATAATGCTAGTAATACGAGTTCACTCATCATTTTTCTCTTTCTATTTAAAAATAAAACGTAAGCTTTTGATGTGCTCAACACACCATTTTCAAACACAAAAGAAAAAGAGCTAGCATTCTGTATAAACATCGTTTTTCTCTTGTTTTCTCTTCCTTGCATTGCATTTCTTGTCAATATTACTATAGCAAGAAAAACAAAAAACAGTTGTTTATGTCCAATTTTAACTTTTTTTTCTTTTGTGCTTGAAAATAGTGTGTTGAACTTATTGAAAGCTTGCATGCCTGCTTTTTAAAGAAAAGCAGAAAAAATGATAAACGTACTCGTATTAATATCCTTTTCAAAAACAAAATATGTCGATATGTTGCATGAAGTTAGTTTTCGATTATATGATTGTTCTTATTTTGAATTGATCACTTATTTACGATGATCATGGTATCTACCTAGATAAAACATAGAAATGTATGTATAGCGTTTGACGAATGATATTTATTTAATGGATTCATTATCATCTTCTGAATTTTGGTTACGATGAGAACCTTGCCCATGATTTTTAGTTTCTTCATATCTGTGACCAACAGTGGAGTTTATCAAATCATCATGTCCTTCATTATCATTATTGTTTAGTGTTTTAGAGCCTTGTTTTGCACCTCAAGCATAATTGGACTGAGTATTTCCTGAAAAAAGAAACAATAATGGCAAAGCAGAGATGTGACAATGGGGGAGGGGGAGTGCGGGAGGAGGTGCACACCTATCACACTTTTTAAAAATTTTCAGTTAAAATGGTATTGTTTATTTACAAAGAAAGGTTGTAAAATGAAAAACTTAGTTCACCACTTTCCCACACTTTCAAAAAAATTATATACGCACATTTTTAGCTCTTAAAAAATTTTGTTACAGCCCCTCTCCCTCAGTCTTTTATCTTCTCCATATACCTGTGGAAAAGAATAATTAAAAGCAAAATCAGATAAGAAAAGAAAAAGAATACAATAAACAAAATAACAATCAACGATACGATAAAGCACTTCGTATTGATCTCTTATTATTGTATGTAATCGAAGGATATTTACCAGTCCAGTCTAAGCCTTCACATACATTTTTTACGATGTATTTTCGTACTAATTTGTTTTAATGTTTTGCTATTGTAATCTGACAATTTTTCTAATATTACTTTTACTATGTTGACAGTAAAATATCATGAATCATTTTTTTAGACAAACAAACAAACAAATATCTTTAGTTATTGTGTTTAATAAATACATTGACACGTGAAGGACAGGAATTGCATAAAAAGCTAAATCACCACATTAGTATTTTTTTCCATACTATGGAATCATGTATCAACGTAAAGAGTATGTTGATACTAACATATAGGTACTAGTTTTATGAGATCTCAGTCGAATTTCCAAATTGAAAACTTATTAAGAAAGTATCGCATTTTGTTCATTATTCTAGTAATTCATCATATCACAGTGGATTCAATCTAAAGATAATATACTATACTACTGAAATTATGAATGTTATAGCTCTTTGATGAAGCTTCAATTCTATATATAAATGATTAATTGATTGTTTAATTTCCGACGTATTGGTAGGCACTATATACATATTTACTGTATTTATAATTTTCCAATATCGTTAAGTAAATATTCTAATTTAAAAATTGAAATGATCAAAATTGTCGTATTACTCATTTGGTAACCCTTTTAAAATGCAATAAAATCATATATTTTACAAAATCAAAAGAATTTTGCCATTCACAAATGCTTCTTAGCAACATTCTTCTCGAGGCACAGTTTTGTGTCTCTTTAATCAATGTTTCGCAAAATTTCGATTGAAAAAAAACTCAATTTTAGTGAACACTAATATGATATTTGAAACTATTATAAAAAGCTGATTTAGTCTATGTGTAATTTACAGAATTTCAAGAAAATCTTTTTTTTTGTTGTTGAAAAGTTTATCTCTAATATCCGCCTGGAATTACATGAAAAATAAATTGTATCAAACCACGATCTAGACACCATAAAGAAATCTTGAAAATTGTCTAAAAATATTAAATGACAAAATGGCAGATATATGCTAAGACTATTCATCTGTACATCGGATTTGTATCTCGTTAAATTAAACAATCATTTCATGACTTATAAAGGCAAGTTTGAAATCTAATTGAGATTGGAATAGCATTTTTGTAATTTTCAGAGTAAGGTAGATCGTTAATGTATAAAAATAGAAAAGTTGTTTATACATTGAATAAGTATTTTTTTTTGTTTTTATGCAATTAGCATAAATTTTCGTTATAATTGTTTTCTAATCATGGAGATAGAGAAACATCGAATGATTCGTGAATTTTCAACAATTATTAGGTAGAATTTTCTCAAGCTATTAATGAAAAAAGATTTGCATTGAAGATTGTCACATAAATAATTAAATATTAAAAACTGTAATTCCATGTCGATATTTTATACTTATAAAAGCAAAATTATATTGAATGTATTATGAGTAGAGGTGAGGTGAGAGGGATTTAAAAAAAGTGTCTTATATGACATGTGTGTCTTATCATTAGGATATGAGAGCATAATAAATGTCTATCAATACTAATGAAATTGAAAATTAATTTTTTTCTATAAATAGGTTAATGGGTGGTATGTGACACATAATAGTTCTCATAGAGAAATTGAATCTTTAGTAAATGTCATTGAATCATTTAAATTCCTACATTAAAATACATATTTTCAAAATGATGCAATAAATAATTGTAAATCAAGTAATTATCTTATACTCTAACAATACCAAAACTTGAATACAGCAAAACTAATATCAATGAATGTATGACTCATATACAATTGTAATAATAAAGAGCATTTACGAAACTTAAACATACAAAAAAAATGGTTGGTTTTTTATTAGTAAATAGGAAACATTCAAAAAAAACCTGTTATATTGTTATGTTTAATGTGAATCTATTTTGTAAGCTCTTGCCCAAACAAATTATTTTCACATTGTTTATGAAGCTTTACTACTATTAGTAAATTTTTTTTTCTAAGACAATTTTTTTTAAAATTATTGCGCGTTTTCTAAACTCAACTGTATTTTCATATCAACTATGACATAAAAGAATTAGAAAGTTCATAATTTCGGTAGTATTTGGTCCTGTCTATTGATTCTCAGATTGAATCAGTTGTGATAGGATGAATTATTAAAATAACGATCAAAAATGCGTTACTTTCTTCATAGCGTTTGGGTTTCATAAATTGATCGAAACCTTAAGCAACTAGTACCAATATGTTGGTGGTAACATACGTTTTCCTTTGATATATGTTTGAATTGAGTTTGCGGAAAAAAAAATACTGTTAAGTCGATTTGACGTCAGGTACGACTCGGTTCCTTATCTATGAATGTTTTATTTTGAAAACAATAACTTTACATACGGCTTTGCTCGTATAGAAAAAAACGATCTAGGACTTGTTACGGTCCACGTGTTCACAATAACATTAGAAAAAACGTCAGATTGAGGTATCAAAACAAGACAACAAAAAGTGAGTAGGCACACAATCACTGGCAAGCAACCTATATATAAATACGAAGATTGGAAAAACAAATATCATTCGATTACATATACGAATATGCGATCAACATTGCTTATTTTGTTATTGGTTAGTGTATTATTCGTTTTATTCGGTTTTTTATCTGATTCTACTTTTAGTTTCTCTTGGCTGTTGTTGTTTTTTCAGCACCTCAGTCCGGTTATAATTCAGATTCAGCACAATACTCTCATCAAACAGACAATCATGATAATAAAGGACATGATAGTCCGATAAAGCCCAATGTTGACCACAAAGATAAAGACAGTGAAAGTAATGAAAAAAGCTCAGAATCTCAAGACCACGAACAAAATGGAAACAGTGGCCATAGTGGATATGGTGGCCAAAGTGGAAACGACGGGCACAGTGGAAACAATGGAAAAGTTGGCAATGGAGGTGGCCAAGGTGGAAATAATGGAAAAGGTGGCAATGGTGGTGGTCAAGGTGGAAACAATGGAAATGGTGGCAATGGTGGCAATGGAGATGGCCAAGGCGGAAACAATGGAAAAGGTGGCAATGGAGGTGGCCAAGGTGGAAACAATGGAAAAGGTGGCAATGGCGGTGGTCAAGGTGGAAACAATGGAAAAGGTGGCAATGGAGGTGGTCAAAGTGTAAACAATAGAAATGGTGGGAATGGAGGTGGTCAAGGTGGAAACAATGGAAATGGTGGCAATGGTGGTGGCCAAGGTGGAAACAATGGAAAAGGAGGTAATGGTGGTGGTCAGGGTGGAAACAATGGAAAAGGAGGTAATGGTGGTGGTCAAGGTGGAAACAATGGGAAAGGTGGCAATGGAGGTGGCCAAGGAGGAAGCAATGGACAAGGTGGCAATGGTGGTGGCCAAGGCGGAAACAATGGAAAAGGTGGTAACTAATTGTGTAAGTAAATATCATTCGTTACAGACTATACATACATTTATGTGTTTGTTTTAGATAGCTTTCGTAGTTATCATAAATATTTGATCAATTAAAGAAAAAGATCAATTATCTGATCGCAAATAAACTTTACTCAAAATATTGTCACTGTTTTTTTATTTCTGTAGTTAGCAATAAAACAAAGAGATTTGTCTTCTTTTAAAATAAATACTGAAAAATCATGTTCAAATGAAAAGACAACTTTATAGAATATAAAATTAATAGCATGACATATGATCTTGATGCTTGAGATTCAGAATGTTTATCGTATATGTGAGTGTTAATTCAGTTCACAAATTTACTCACAGAAGTATATACACCAGGATATTTTGCGACTGTAATTCCATATACAGTAAAACCTCTCTAATGTGAACACCGTTGGGACCGAAGAAAAGCGTTCACTATAGCAAGGTGATCATATAGGAGAGGTTCATTTACAGCAAAAATCGATTTTTGGGACTTTTCAAAACCGTTCAGATTAACAGGTTGTTCATAAAGGAGGGGTGTTCACAAATAGAGGTTTTACTGTATATAGAAAGTTATTCCCACAATATTTTCTATGTCACTTTTTCAATCAGAAATCATCAAAGATCCATCACTAAAACGGTTTAGAAATTAAAAATAATATTTAAAAATATTTGTTTTTTCTCTATAGCCTTGAGATATATGTTTACCAGCTTTGATAAAGCCTTCACAAAATTGAATAAGATGATCAGATACAACATCATGACAATATTTAATTGTACATTACATAATAGATACTTGTTAAAGAATAAGTGTTGAAAACGTCCCCAAACTATTACACATGAAAAACGACTAACGGTCAACCAGCATGATTGAAGTTGAACGCTCAAATTCTCGGATACAAAACAATCAATCTTACTCATTTTAAGTTTTTACGTAGGTTTTCGTATATTCTGCGTCGATGTATGCAATTTCTTTTTAATAATTAAGAGAAAAAATGGTAGTCATCAGCCAAAATTCAGTATTATTGTGCAAAAGTGGCTTGAAAAAGCTTTTTTGTCTCGTGTCATATTTCAAAAACGGACACATTATTAGAAATAAAAAACGGCAGTGGCAGCTTGCAATACAAATGAACATCATTACTTTGATGTTCTAAACGGATAATTCCAAATACGAAATAAAATCTTATATCTAGGATTTTTGCTAAAAAAGTTCATGTCGGTGCGTTAGCTAATGTTTTGTCAATAGCTCACTCATTTTTCAAGACATCAATATTTTCTCTTTACCAAAAGATTACCCTGATTTTTAGCTAGAAAACCCTCTCCCGTGCAATTCTTTAGCATGGAGTAATTCGCAGGGTTTATCACTTCTTTTGCACATATCAAGAACCGAGGGCCTTTTTTGTCTGTGTTTTACCGATCAGTATTTTACTCATAAAATTCAAATAGATAGACAGTTGAGGCTCAAACTTTCCAGTATTATAGAATTTGTTTACTTACATATTTTTGAAAAATTACAAGTCCTTCCCTCTTATCATTCTCTAGATACATTCGTTGAAAATTGAAATAATGTCTGTGCGTTACCTGCGTTTTCCATGTACAGTATCATTCATTGATTCATGTGGATATATTAAGATACTTTATTTTGAAGTAAACAAATAAATTCAACATATGAATTATTAAAGTCAACATTTTTTGTTAGTTCTAATAGAACAATATCATTTTTATCGATTTCTTTATTATATTTATGATGTAAAATAAAAAGATTTAATTGCAAATCGACTCGAGTTCGTATCATATTTTACAGTAAGCATTACCAACAACAATATAATTTGAAAATTTGTGATAATTGAATACTATGAAAACAATAAACAGCTGTTAATATGTGTTTATTATTGATTAGATTTTCATCATAAAAAAGGATAAATCGGACTCTTTGATGATTCACTAGATACTGATCGACGAAGACTTACTATCTTATTCAATATAGATATTTAATAGATAATTAAGTATTGATACTTACTAATCCATGACCATGAATGGTTTCGAGTTGTACAATCACCAACAATTCCTGATTGAGAAAGAACAAGTTCTATATGTAACCATCCACATTGATTCGATGATGGTATACAAAATAATCAAAATGGATAAATTAAAAAGAGAAAAGACAGAAAATGAAACATTATTTTATGTATATCACAAGCGAACTATTTTAAGCATGACTATATAAATAATGGATTGATTATGACTTAATGTATAATGAAGTGAAGTACTTTTTTTTGTTTTGTTTTGTCATTTCTGTATCATTTATATCGTAATATTTTCTATTATTTTCAAATCAAAATTCTCCTGTGCTATACTCTTTTCATGCAGCTGCTTGTTTCCTCATATCAATTATAATGAATCATACGATCGTCTACCATGAATAGAATATATGCTTATCTATTCTTTGTTTGTATAATAAAAAAAAAATCTCATAAATAATGAAATGTAAATGTCATCATGAAAGATATTCTGAATGTTTACAAAAGTACGCTCTAATCAATGTTGATGATCGACTTCGATGAGTACTTTGATTTTTTATTGTCTTATCTATTTCTACAATTTTTTTATTACGTAGCTGTTCTTGTTCATTATCTGGTTGCAATATTGGATCCCATCAAAATGTATTTTGTCCACGTGCTGGTATAGTATGTCCTGGATAACGACTGGTTAATGTAGTTGGTTAATAAGATTGTATAACACAAAATGCAAATACTTATAGTGCATATGCTGTTTTATTCAACCAAACCAGGACCTTTTTTACGTTGAGAAACTAATGTTGCTTTTTCTTTTGTTATATCATCAGATTCATCTTGATATTCAGGTATGATTAAATAAACAAAATCAATATCGAAATTAATTTATTATCGATTTGAGACGAGCAACTCTTTGCATAGAGTTGTTGATTTTTTGTTACAACAAATTTTTACTTTTGTTTTTAGTATCTGTAAAAACTACGGATATTCATGGACACCACTAAATTTGAAAAAAAAACAATATAGTTTGAAATAAATATCATACGAACACTCATTCTGAGTTGCGCTCTTGTTTTTCAGTTGGATTGTAGTTTTGTTTTTCTATGCGCGAACACTCATAGTTACTTTGACTTTTTAAAAAGACTATCAAATGAGCAATACGAGTACTTTGTTTACTTCAATTTTTGAATTAAAATATCCACTGAATGATAATAATGGGTGATATATATACAGTAAAAATGCTAATTCATGTCTATCAGTACATTGAATCTAAATATTTTTAAATTAAAGAATCGATTGATGATTTATATATGGGACTCAAGTCTCATCAGAGAGCTATAAGGTTTATGATTTCAGTAGTATACTGTCTTGTCTAGTTATTCTGAGGCTGAATCTATTATGATAAGATGGATTATTAGAATAATGATTAAAACTACGTTACTTTGTTGATAGCTTTGAGGTTTGAAAATTTGGTCAAAATTTCATGAATCTCGTACCAAATGTTGGTATCAACATACAATTTTCGTTAATATATGATCCAATGGAATTGGCCAAAAAGAAATACTAGCAGGACGATTTGACGTCTTGAGTATTCCATCCTTGGTCCTTCATCTATGAATGCTTTATCTTGAGAGCAATGATTCAACATCAAATTTTGTTCCTATAGAAAAAACGATCTATGGCCTGTTAGGGTCTAAATATCTAAAATCACAATGGAAAATTTCTAGGATAGGATAACAGACTATTACAACAATGAGTGAAAAAAAACAGTCATGAAAAATGTACATAAATACGTAGATTGAAAAGATGAATATCATTCGATTATATATACGAATATGCGGTCAAGATTCATTGATGTGTCGTTGGTTAAGCGACGATAAAGCAATAATTTTGGTCGCATACTCGTTTATATAATCGAATTATATTTGTCAGTCGAATATGCGTATTTATTTAGGTTATTCATCGCTGACTTTGTTCTCATTCATGCTTGCGATATCTTGCTACCTTAAGGGCCCCTCTCAGACTCGACTTACCACTTAGAACGGTTCGTTTGGGTTGAAACTTTCAGGAATGAGTGGTACTAGTGAGAAACGCTTATGGTAAAAATATCAGCCTTCTATACCTTATTAAACTAGACTTTCGGCTTGTTTTATAGCTTCCACAAGAATCGAAATAACTTCATGGCTATAAGAGGTATCGAGGTCGGGCTGGTTTCAATTTAAAGCTAGCCTCTGTGCGCAACTTTTCATCGGACAGAATTTTTAAATTTCCTCCCATTCATTTTTTATAAATATTTCAGTGGACATGACTTTCAAAGTAGGCCTAAAAACGGTCAACGGACAACAGTAAATCCAACTTTTCTTAGTCCAGGAGCCAAGTATCAAAAATCCGTCCGATCAAAAGTTAGCTCTCGTCAAGACCTTTGAAATAAAAAAAAAATATCGAGGGCACCACCGAGCCAAGCGGAAGTTATTCCAATTTTCCTGTCTGGAAACCATGTTTTGAGAAAACCGCTAAAGAAGTTTTAGAAATTGAGTTTTTCAGTCAAATGCAGGAAATAATGGTATATTGATAATATTTATGTGGAATTTTTGAAAGCACACAATAGATGGTGTAAGCTAGCACTACAGGTCGTACAATATGATATAAGAATGTTTATTCCATGTTGATAGAAGCAAAAAAGTAGTCTTCCGAAAAATAACAAAAACCGCGAAAATCTCTCCGAAAACCGGGTAGTGTGGTAAAAATCTCCTACGAAAGTCTGTAAAAATTTGACCTTTTTTAAAATTTATATATATTCTGAAAGAGGAAACTTCGTTGCATCTTCCTATGATAAAAATTCGACTTCGATTACTTTACCAAAAAATGGATTTTCTGAGGGTAGGGCCCCCTTAATTTGCTGATGTCTTATGTGATTTTTTTAATACTTTAGCCGTAACAAGTTATGGATCATTTCTATCAAATGAGCAAAAGCTCATAGCAAGTCGTTGCTCACAAAATAAATTATTCATAGTTAAATTTAGTATGATTCAACATATGTTCTTGTTATTTTAGTCTATACAAAAAAGTATGTACTTTTACTTACTAAATCATGTCGTTTAATATAATAAAATGACATCACCTTTTATAAATGACCTCAAAAAAAAATGGTTATTTTTTTAAAGACAATCTGTGATATTCGTTGATCCAATGAATGAATGAAAAAAGCAAAAAAAGACATTGCTTGGTCCAATACTAATCCTAACAAAAAAAAGATCAACTCAATGTAAACCACTGTATCATCGTTTCTATTTCAAAATCAAATTTCATTTCAATACTTTCACCCATTGAATAGTATATATCACACTATTTATGCCTATCAATATAAAGTTTATTTAGCGCAATTGTGTATACAATAGAGTCACTATGACAAGAAATCATTCTTTTTTTTTTCTTCAAACTAGAAAAAGTGAAAATTGAAGCACTTGACGAATATCATTTTCCTATTCAATTTAACCAACCGATTCGTTTTTTTCTCTTGTTCAAGAATTTTTTATATCGAACAAGGCCAGCAAAAAACAAACTCATCTGTGTTAGATCAACATAATGCATACACATATGGTCTTAAAACACGAATGATTAAACTAATGCAAACGAGTCTTCGTCGCTGACACACGCAGAACTTACAAAAAAAAATGCAAAAAAAAAAATAACAGGGTTCTTTTTTTTTCTCTTTCTGTCACATCATCAAAGAACAGAATAAAAGTAGACGAGCGAAGAAAAAAAAGTAAAATCATCGTAACCTGAAATGGATTTTCATTTTTTTTCTTCTCTTCACATCAACAAATGTGTCACTATAAACACCGTATCAGCTGACAAATATAGTTGATGTAAGACTAAAGAAATGACGAGTGATTTAAGGAATTAATATCGATCATGTTTAATATATTGTTTCTATCTTATCTTGTGCAATTTATGTTTACTATTATATTTGCGCATGATGATGTTAAATCTAAGCCACAACAATATCAAAGTTTTTTTAATGGACCACAAAGTTTTTATCAACAACATCAAATGACGAATATCGATAGTCAAAAATGGTATTATTCATCAAATCAAAAACCATTAGCTTATTCATGGTATTGGACAAATCAAGATGTACCATCGTCAAATTTTTATAAAAATACATTACCTTCGAAACCAATTGATCCATTAAGAAATGGAGCTTGTGGACGAAGTCAAATAACAAATCGATTTTCACGTATTATGGGTGGACAAGATGCTGTCCCTCATTCATATCCATGGATGATTTCATTAACAAAACGATCTTTAAATAATTTGCATCTATGTGGTGGAGTTCTTCTTACAAGACGTCATGTTCTTACAGCTGCACATTGCATCGAAGATTTCGATGGAGTTAATGATTTAAATGTTATAGCTGGTACTCATTATAGTACTGATAAAAGAAGTCCAGCATCGGTTATATCAATAACTATGCATCCTCAATATGATCCAGATACATTTGCTAATGACATTGCTATTGTAACACTTCGCTCACCATTACCTGATAATGATCCACGTATTAATACAATATGTTTACCACCTGATGATGTTCCTGGTAAAAGTTATCCACCTATGAAAATATCCGGTGTTGCTACTGGTTGGGGATCAATTTCTTTTGGTGGTGATCCATCAGTAACATTGAAACAAGTTGTTTTACCGATTCTTGATGCAACAAAATGGCCATGCAGTGTATATATTACTTATCTTCCAGGACAAATTTGTGCAGGAGAACTTCAAGGTGGTTCTGATACATGTCAAGCTGATTCGGGTTTTTATCTAGACAGTTTCATGTCTGTTGTAATTAATTTCTTATTTATTTAAGGTGGTCCATTAATGATAGAAAATTCAGATAGTCGTTGGGAAATCGTTGGTATAACATCGTTCGGTAAATCATGGTAAGATAAGAAATCCGAAAAACAAAAAGATTTGATATTCAAGATAATATTCTTTTATTTCTTTAGTGGTAAGCCAAATACACCAGGGATTTATACACGTGTAGGTACTTATAATACCTTTATTCGGTCAACAATTGGTCTCTCAAATTATAGTCCATATTATTCGTCTTCTTCTCAGTTATTTTCATTGAATGAATTTTCATTCAGTTTTATTTTATTGATAGTATTTTTTTTATTTTAATGAGAAAACAAAAAACCATAAATTTATATTGTAAAATCTGATTAGGGGTGTTTTTTCTTACATTCATTCAAATAGACGAAAATTTTTATATATCTATGCCATTGATTCTTTTCTTTTCTTTTTTGGTTTCTATTCTCATCATCATATGGATGTGTCAGACCTATTATTGTATATACGTCGTTTTTTATTGGCAGAGAAAAGAGACCATTTATAACAACACATCATCATAAAAAAAAACGTGGTAAAGATTTCAGGGTCTTTACACGCTTTACATACATATATATATATATATTTATGTGTCTATTTGATACACTTATGAAGAAGTGAGAGAGAGAGAATACAATGCAAATTGGAAAAAAGAAAAATGATAAATGTAAATATATATATATATTTTTTTTTTCTTTTTTAATCAAGCTGTCAAACCATAATCAACATACTAGAAAAAAAAATAATAAACGTAAATAAAAAAAGATAAATATTTAATAAAACCTGTTCTTCGTTAGGATCTGGTTCAAGACCGGAGTCGATTTTTGGTCTTGCATGCCATCGAAGTTTTTCATTAAAAACCTGTTTTAAATAAAAATAAAATATTGAAAATATTATACTAAAAAATCTGTTACCATTGGTGCAATATATGAATCTGGATCGTAAGAATCATTATATGCATCAATTTTTGCTTGAGATTTCCAACGAGGTAATTGATTAACAATCTAGATTCAAAGTAAAATTTATGAATGTGCAGTGTTGGTGTCAATACTGAAATTTTGAACAGTAAGTCACTGATGCAAGGCCCATCGGGGTACTGATATCAGTGTTGTACTAATTACACTGAATCGGTGACATCCGTGGTCAGTCAACTGTAACTGTACATATCTAGTCAAATTTAAGCTCTAAAAGCAATTATGTTTTTTTATTGTGTGCAATTATTGATTGTCAGAATGTCAAAGAATAGCATATAAATCGAAAAGTTAATAATAGCACGAATCATGCAGTCTTAGTTTAGATTTTCTTTGAGAAACTGATAGGTATAGTTTTAACGAAATCGAATAGATTTAGTATGTTTTCTTAATGTTTACTACAATCAACAGAAGTCGTAACTTTCTTTGAAAAAATATGTAACAGTGAGAAATTTCTCTTTTACTCAACAACAGAATACCTACAAATAGTTCTAAACGCGGAAACAAGATTCTAAAAAATAGAAGAACAAAGAATTAGCAGAATTCAAAGTGCTCTTCTCTGTTCGTTCATTATCGTACGAGGAAACATATCCAACTCTTAACCGTCAATCGAAGTGATATCTCGCTCAAAAGTAGGACTCTGTAGGACTAGAAAAAGCGTAAAAAAGACTACTTTCCATTAACATTCCTTATGGAATTATGATCGTTTCATCAAATTTTCATCTGAATTTTATTCATGAATAGCTCTCTTGAACCTTTGAGTATCCTGACTGAAAGTTTCAGCCAAAATAGATGGTTCTTTTTCGACATATTAAATACTAAAAAACAAGTTGGCTTTATGGCATTTTTTTTGAAAACCCTATATTTCGAGAAGAAACCATTCGTTTTGACTAAAACTTTCAGAATATACTCAGAATCAAGAATCCTATTCATGAGCAAAAGTTAAGCTGAAAATTCTTTCCCCATAGTTTTTCTATGAATACCTTGCCAAAAACCCAAAATCCAATCAAACGATCATAACTCCATAAAGAAGGTCTATGGGAATAAATTCTTTCAAACTTTCTCTAGTCTCACTGAGTTCTACTTATAACCATAATATCACTTCAATCGTCGATTAACAGTTGGATATGTTCAAAGAGATCGAACTTTCACCAATAGGATATTTGACAAAGGTGAAATTCTAAAATCCTTATGTTTCATTCTTAATTGGCAATAGCAAAGCGATAAGGAACTAAACATCACAGATTATCACGTTTAGTCATAAAGAAAAGAAAAGATTCTAACAATTAATCATGTGATTCTTCTACAGTCTCAAAGATATTGACATTAGATAGTAAATTGAAAAAATTCTATTCTTTTTAAACTCACTCTCGGTCTTGATTGTTCTTTTAAGTTCTCTAGATATTCTTCATTACGAGCATTAATTTTTGGTGATTTTGTAATCCATTTAAGTTTTTCTTGATAAATCTAAAAAAATAAAATATTACATTAGTATATGTTTCGAATACGTATTTAATTTCATACCAAAGGTATTGATCGTTTTTGTCGCATACGTTCAATATAATCATCGTTTCTTTGATTAATACGTGGTCTTTTTTGCCATTCAAGTTTTCTCGATTCAATTGGCTAAATAACAAACAAAGTAAAAAAATTCAAAAACGATAGTAAATCGATTTTATTTTCATACAGGTAATTTCGCTGATTTTTGCCGTTTTATATGTTCATCAAAGTCTGGATTTTTATGATCAATACGAGGTTTATGATTTTTCGGTTTGCGTTCTTGTGGAATACTCTTTATTTAATAGAAAACAAACATCTAAAAGTGAAATTCACTATAATCAATAATTTACTTGAACGTAAAATTTTTCTTTTTGTTGAACTTTTTCACGTTCTTTGTGTTTAACATATTGTTCATTATAATGATCAGTTCTATGAACAGTTGGCCATGTAAGTTTTTCATCATAAATCTTTTTAAATAAAAAGAAAAAGAACTTTTTTTTTAATTAAATAATAAACTTACAATAGGTTTTGGTGCACTTTTAATTCGCTCAATAGCTTCTTCATTGTGAGAATCAATTTTTGGATCTGCTTGCCATTTTATTTTTTCCTCATAGATCTTGTTTTTTTTAAATTAAAATAAATAAATTAGATAGATAATTTAATAAAAAAAAGTATACTTGAGGTTTCGGTGCTCGAAGAATATTTTCGACAACTTCTTCATTATGTGAATCAATTTTTGGTTTTCGACTCCATGTAGGTTTTTGATCAAATATCTTGTAAAATATAATGAGCAGTTTTTTTTTCTTTTTAATCCAATAGAAAAAAAAAATATATACTTCAGGTTTCGGTGCTCGACGAATACTTTCGACAACTTCTTCATTATGTGAATCAATTTTTGGTTTTCCACTCCATGATGGTGTTTCATCATATATCTTTTTCTTTGGTGCATTAATAATTTTTTCCATGGCTTCATCGTTACGGGCATCAATTTTTGGATTTGCATTCCAATCAACTTTTTCTTGAAAAATCTATATTGAATAGAAAAATGAAAATTATTGAATTTAGATAGATAATTAATTGTGTATACTTTAACAGTTGATTTCGGTCGAACATAACGAACTCGACGTAGTGTTGATGTTGTCTTTAAAAGAAAAAGAAAGAGTTTCATAAACAAAAATTACATGGAAATTAAATGCTAATTACTTCTGCAGTAGTATCTCGACGTGTTTTTCTAGGGGGTACAGTGGAAAAAGATGAATTTCCTCTACTGTCTTCAAAATCATTATCATTGTCTTCATCGTCATAATTATCTTCTTGGTCATTTGTTTCTACTTGAATAACTTTTGATGATCGTTTTATTGGTTGCGAACGATTTACTGATGAAGACTTGTCCACAACAAATGATCGATTTGGACGGTCAACAACATCATAATCTAAGACATTACCATGACCATCAGTTTGGACAAGAACAACTCGCTAAATTAAATTAAGTTGTTTATTTGATTTAATAATTTTTGTTTTCTTTGTTCATACTTCACTTTGTCGAGCTCGTGGCATTATTGACAGAAAATAGTTGGCGTTACTATGAAGGCAATGCAAACACAATACAGAAAATGTTTATACGTTCAAGTGGAAATAAGTGTTTCACTTGCTTTTTTTTTCATGTAACAGTGAGACACATGAATAAATAGTGATCAAAAGAGAACAAAACAAACAATCCTACTCATACATATTCAAAAGAAAAAGAAAAAAAATTTTTCTTCAACTTTTTTTTGTCATTTATAGTGTTATTGTGTAGCAAACAGGGCTCGAAACGGGCCTCANAATACAGAAAATGTTTATACGTTCAAGTGGAAATAAGTGTTTCACTTGCTTTTTTTTTCATGTAACAGTGAGACACATGAATAAATAGTGATCAAAAGAGAACAAAACAAACAATCCTACTCATACATATTCAAAAGAAAAAGAAAAAAAATTTTTCTTCAACTTTTTTTTGTCATTTATAGTGTTATTGTGTAGCAAAGCTAAAATAAAACATATGTCTAAGTACACCTATGTAAAAATAAAAAAGAGATTTCACGAAACGAGCGTTACAATTAACGCCCAAAATTGCGTTAAAAGATAAATTAACGAAGTTTCATGAAGAAAATTCCACTGACTTTTGTTAAATTTCAGAAACTCGTAAAAATACGTTAAATTTGTCACACTTTTTCACGCGTGTTTCTTTTTTTAACGGCAACTAACTCGTCACATGTCGCTAAATATTGCATAGTCGTTTTCACGTGTGCGGAATTTTAACAATGTTTCTTGAGTTATCTTGTTTATAACATATCTTATCGTATTAGCTATCCTTAAATGTTACATTCGTTTTCACAAGTGTAGTACAATAAATTTCCCACTTGGATTATATGTCACCTGTATAAGTGTGTAGAAAAATCATTCACATATCTCGCCATCTAATGTACATATATTGGAACATGTTCAATTATAGCATATTCTATGAATAGTGCTCAAATCAGCACCAGAATCAGGATTTTGAACTAGGATGATGACTGAGACTCCTTAGTTGCCATAGTGGCACGCTCTGGTGATAATGTTAATATCGGTTTTGATCATATTTATCTGTACGTCTTCATTGATCATTTAAAAATTGATTTGAATTATCTAATATCATTATTACTATTAGCATTTCTATTTTCAATATCAAAAGATTTGTTGAAATGTAAATTTTTTTTCTATTTGAAAAATATTAATGTATTTAATTTTATATCAGTTATCAATATGATGAAAGATATTTGAATAAGCTATTGTATATTATACAAACAAATAAAAATGATTGTTTTAGCTTCGAAAAAGAATTTTACGTATAAAGGTATGCAGTGTTGATGTAAATACTGAAATACTAGTAATGAGCTACCAACACATGTTTCATTGGAGCACTGATTATACTAGCATTGATGTTCACTAAAACACTGATATCTGCGTTAGTTCCAACATGAAGGTACTAACACTATCGAAATATGTACTTTTTTTAGCGATGTGATCCAGTCCTTCAGTATACATTGATGTCAGTGACACCGTATAGTCGGTAACGTTGATGATCAGTAAAGTGAAGCTGCACATCTCTATTTATGTATGTATTGAATTTTACGAAAGTTTTCGTATTTTGAAAAAGATAATTATGCCATGAGTAATAGTCAATTTTTATTTAGCTGAATCTACTTTCTATCATGCAATATTATTGATTGATATATTTTAGTAATGTCAGAAAGAAAATTTTTGCAAATATGTTATTATGAAAACGCAAGCAGTTTCAATTATGATAATCGTCATAATTGCTGTATCTGGTTTTTTACCGTTAGATCAATGAAATGAAAGACTTATAATTATTGTATTTGGCATTTATCAATTAAAATTTTTTTTTTTATTCTCGTTAGAGGGATAGATGACCTCTGGTATAATGGAACGAATATTTAGATAAGAACTCATAAATGTAAACCATATTTTATGTGTTGATTATTTCTATCATATAATTCCTTGCTTTTACTAATATGAATGCTTTCAAATTAAATACAATATGATAAAACATATTTTTTCTTGTTTATGTATTTTTTTTTATTAAACGTCTGTAAATATTGTAAGTTGCACAATCATTGTGTTTCCTCATTCATTTGTAAAGAAAGAATACTGTTTAAATCCGTAAAAACTAAGAGTGAGAGGAAGGAAAATTGGTTTTTCTCACTTGAATTATAGAAATAATGATTGATTATTTTCAATAATAGACAATAGAATTTTTTGATTCCTTCAAAAGGAAATTACTGATTAGTGACTCAAAGTAAAATTCGATATAAGTAGTTTAATAACTAAAGATTTCACTGTTGTTTGAAGTCTTTTCTTTTCGGTAACATAAGCATTGAAATATGTCTAGTTACTCGAAATGTATTTAAAGAAATAATTTGGATAATGAAGTTGTCAAGTACAAGTAGGAAATCTTTCTTAAAACAGATTGTTTTTTTAGAATTGAAGTATAATAAGTAGAATATTTTCAATTTTACTTATTTGACATAGTGCCGCATTACTTTCATGTATGTTTCTATGAACAGTTATTCAAGATTGGATAATAAAAACTATGCTAAAAATCTTTTATTGCTTCATACAATTCAACTTCGACTCGGAAATCTTGTTTTCAATCAGAGTCATTTGCTATATGAAGAAATATGCCGCTTTTATAGTCTTGTTAGCATTAAAAAATTCAAAATTCAAAAGAATTAAAATTCTATAAATAACAAAAAGGCAATCATCACTTGTACAATGTTTTTATTTTCATTTAATTTGTTTCAGCACTAATCAATAAAGTTAATGAAGATTAAGCTATACCAATTGTCATACTATTTTCATTTATTGATTATCGAATTCAAATATTGATCAATATTTTAAAGTTCAAGCCTTATTCAGCAAACGTCTACGGTTTGACTTAGAATCAATTCTCCTCGAAATTTCTCATATGAAAACTTTATTATAAACACATATATATATATATATCGAAAACATCTATATATGATTATCAGCATAGATGATTATGACAGATATTTGAAATAGTATCAAAGAGCAAAACTGATTTTCGATCTTAACGACATTGTTTTACTTTCGTTCATTTCTAATGGTCTCTCATGATCTTTGATGACTTCCAATACTCTAAAACTGTACCAGTACTATTTGTATTTCTAATCAGAACTTGTATATTACAACTACAACGTGATTTTGTGATCAGAAATAAAATATAATCTAAGTATAATGCGTAGTAAAAAAAGAAATGAAACACTTTTGTCTTCGTTTTTTTAAACTAGGAGAGCATTCCAAAGGTTTCGTCTTGAGTTCATGTGATAGAAAATTTTTGGCTCTTCGAAACTACGGAGTTTCTTTTTCAGGTAACCTTTTTCTTGACAATGAAAAAAGGAGAATGTTCATTGGAGCTCAGTTGGTCAACAGCAACAGTTTAAAAACTGAAACTGATAAATTGTTTTCGAAAAAAAGAGATTTATTGACACTTACAACATAGTAAACAATTCTCCGCAAAATAGTCAATCGCTCAAGTTATATTAACAACTTTTAGAAAAAAATATGTGATTGAAAAATATATTAAATAATAATTGAAAAATCGTCTGACATATCTTAGACAACATCTATTCTTATTTCGAAGTAACCTAAATACGATCATAAATGGGCTCAAATTTTACCTGATTTTCTTCAAGCTTTGACGCTATATTAGATGGTATGTTAGTAAATCTTTCATAGTGTACGTCTAACTCTGTAAACCATACTTCCGAGTGCATATTTCATAAAAATTAACATACGTAAAATTCCAAGTCTTTTAATTTTGAGCAATACTTTTACCCCCTTTACAAAGATCTTAGCAGTGTAGTGCATGAAAGCCTTTATTTACTAATGTCATTAACTACCACATTGAAATAAGACTAAATGACACATAGCATTCTACAAATGGAACTAAGTTCGTCAAAAATATCGAAGACTACAGTGGATCGATTGAGCGCACTTTGAGTTTCTCAATTTTTAGCCGATTAGAAAACTTATCTTAAAGATAAAGTCGGCAGTTCTATAGAACGGAGAAAGAAACTTTGAGAGTGTGTTTCTAATTTTTCAAAGAAGGAAATAAAACTACTCAATTTTCTACACATGATTCGTTACATATTGAAGTCATGCCTGTTCTTTCTTATTACAATTTAGCGTATTAAAATTGTAATTAGTCAATTGCTGCGAATTAATGTATTTTCATTTGCAAATCATTTTAAAGCTTTCCATCGACACTGAAACTCGAATACGTAATATTTTTTAGAAGGCCACAATACATCACAAATGTTCTCTGCCAAGATTTCAGCAAGAGGTCCTATGACTTTCGTTGATTCCTACATTTTTAAAAATATTTCTTGCATTAGAAATCATTTTGTTTCTTCATGACTTGCATTCTGATTGCTTTTTCCTCACACATATGTATTAATACAAGACGATAAAACGAGACGTTGAATCTGAGCGAGGCCCTGATTCGAAAACAAGTTTTTGCTGGAGAAGAGCGGCGTAAATCTGAGAAGGAAAAAATGACTATAAAAGGAAGAGATCAAGAAATTCTTCATTGTTTTGTGCTCTAATTTCTATCTCTCTGGAATAATTAAATAACTGAAAAATATATTGATACTAATAAATTCAATAATACTATTGTACTGAAATATACTGATATTATTTTTTTTTATTGAATTAGATCATTGATTAATTGAAATGAATGAGTATGCCGAACGAATATCTTCAATAACAATTCAAATTCTACAAACGAAACACATGAATCTAGTTCACGTGAAACAAGCACATCACGATATTACATTGCATTTAATCATTCTCACAAAAAAAGCCTTCAAAATTTCCTGATACTTCTATATAGTTTGTTTTACTTGTTAATAAATTTTTTATTTCAATAATTTCTTATTGAATGAGCTCTTTTTTTTAGTTAGTACAATAGGTTGTTTGATGAGCATAGCACTGAAGTT